GCTACTCTACACTGCTCAAACCTCGCGTTTGAATCGTCAGTGGCAAATTCTTTAAATATAAAAAACTTACTTACAGTCTGTGAGTCAGAACAGCCGGCATTGTAGTCTACTCTCCCAGGAACAGTCCTCCAAAAAATGTGCTGGACACATCTGAATAATTGGGTTGAACTGTTCTGGAACAGTGTTGTAAATACAACTTAACCACTGATTTCTAGTTGTGTCCTCTTTTGGAAGGCCAAACAAAGTAGTTTCGCTTTCACAACGAAACACACAGTGCCTTCACGACATGGCGGCAGCAACAACAATACTACAGCGAGAATAAAAGTTACGCCTTCTTTCTTTGCGTGAACATTTGGACGGCGTTATGCAAATCTTCCCACATCGTGACGTAGACATGTGGGGGTGTGTTAGAACGAGCCGTTTTAGGTAGGCGTGGTTGACTCTTAACTTTTATAAAGAATATCTCTTTGGATTTGAGACTTTAGTCTTTGCAACTTTACAGATCTTCTTTATGCACCAAGAGCTTGTAACACTTCAAAGAGAAAGGAAAAATTTAAATCGCATCATATGACCCCTTTAAACCTTAACGCTCTCATACTTACAAGTTGAGACAGAGGGATTGCAATACAAGTGTAATGATGCTTAATTCCCAAATAAAAAGCTCATTAAAATCATCCAGATATTTGCAATGTTGTTCAGTTATGTATCGCCGGAAAATCATTGCAAATATATTGTAAACATGTCAATTACATTCAACAAAATGTTTTTTTGAGTTCATGTAATGCTCAGCCTATTTTGATAAGGAAGTTTCTGGTTATTGTATTGTCATGTAGCTCAGGTTTGACATGTCCCACCTTAGAAAGGAAGTTGTTGGCGTTTATAGCCAGAATGACATGAATTGCTTGAGGAGTTCAGCTTGAAACGAGGTAAATGTGAAGTAGTTGTTACCGAATACTGTTGTAAAATAACTTCACTGCCATAGCCTGTTACTAAAATAAACAAAGTCACGTCTTGCACGAGGGTGTATGTGTGTGTGTGTGTGTGTGTCTGAGTGGGACAGAGGCAGTAAGAGTAAAGCCTGTTTGGCCTAGTGCCACACACAGCCTGTGGCCCCAGCTGAGTAAATAGACACGGGCCCTGTGTGCCAGGGGGGGCCTTCTTGCTCTCGGCTGAAGGGTGACTGGGGCAGACCAGGACCCCCCAACCACACCGCATACAGAGGAGGCCTTCAGTAACCACTCACTCACATTATGGATCCCATGTCTCTTTCGTTTTGATCTTTATATACATTGCAAGGTTTGTATAATTCCTGACTTGAAATTCTAAACATTTGTAGCCTTGGCATTGAAAACCACTAAATGCAGACTTCTGCCTGCTGCTTTTTTCCCCTAAAGTATATTGTTGGTATGTATAGATTTCCTCTAACCTCATTTATAGCATTCATCTGAAGTGCTCCCCTATGGGAGTGACTTCCCACTAGTCATTTTTCAGCATTTTTCAGTTGTAAGCTTCATTACTTAGTCGTTTGAGAATCAGAGGACACGATTGGCCATTAACAGCCCTTGAGATTCAACTCAACTTGCGGCCTTGATATACTTCAAGGGAAATTGAAGAATGAGTTGGCGTGATGTAATTTTGAACAAAATCAGTTTCTCCAAATCTCCCAAATGAAGTTTGTTTGGAGTTTGTTTGGGGAGTTCAAGACAGATTGCCAAAGCAAACTTTCCAGAAATGTTTTCACACTGGTAAGCACCTTCAAACTACCATTGGTCCATGTGCTCTGGGTCTTCACCTTCTTTGACATGGAAATCTTCTCTAGTTCAGTTAGTTTGTTTGTCCTGTTGAGGTCAGACGTGAGTAAAAACATGAACACACTATAAAGAGCTGCTTTATAGTAGAAGTGAAGTTGTAATTCTAATTGAAAGTGACACTGACACAGGTATTTCAAATAACTTTTTACCCATAAACAAAGAGCGACTGTCATTGTATGGACAAAAAAAAAACAGACATATTTTTAAATATTCTTTTGTGTTCTACAGAAGAAAGTAGGTCATACAGGTTTGAAATGAGGGCGAGTATAAGATGCTCATCCAAGTGCAAAGCCATGTATACGAAGGCTAATTGTTGTATACATACTGAAAAAATTTACAAAAGCTGTCACTGGGGCTTTACCCTTTCAAAAGGAGCTAACATGTACACTTGAGGTACTAAATATGCACTCTTTAGGGAAATAAGGTACACCCCAGTGACAGCTTTTGCACTTATTTTTCCCAGTCTCCAGACAACAATTAACATGTGTTTACTTGAATTTGCACTTTGGACTTTTGTACCTTTTTTTTTCTGCGAGTGTATGATGATTGGGTTATCCTACAAATACACAATCATAGCTTCATGTTGAAAATCTGCCAAAATGGGCCATAAATGACAACAGATCGAAGAGAAATTAGGCAGTCGTTTAGCCTCCCGTTTATAAGTGACTTTGACAGAAGAGGGTGAGATTTCAGTAAAAGCAGTCAGGAGGTGTTGATCTGTTTCCTGTGGTTCTGTCTTTCTGCAGGATCGGTCACTGGTGTCGGAGTCGTCTCGTAAGAAGGAACGTGAATTGGTGGCGAAGGAGATCGAGCGACTGCGTTCGTCCATACAGACGGTGTGTCGCAGCGCTCTGCCTCTGGGCAAGATCATGGACTACATTCAGGAGGATATGGACTCCATGCAGAACGAACTGCAGACCTGGCGCAAAGAGAACAAGGAGAACGCACAGGCTCTGCTACAGGAGCAAAGGTGCACATGCATATTAGCTCTGTCCCTAACTCTAGTAAGCTGCCTTGCTGGATACTGCCTACATAGACAGCATCCTAACTGAAGTGAAACCTCTTAAGTGATTGATTTGGAACTCAAAAGTCATACAAATAATGGTCCTCGCACAAAGTGCACAGGAGCTGACCTTAAAATTGATTTAAGTAGAACATTAGCAAGTTGCTAGGTTGTAATACATTTTAATAAATGTAATAAAAATGCATACAATTTAAATTTTGGGTAGTCCATTTCTATTTTGATTTGTTTATTGAACTATTTTGTGCCATTACTTTTACGTAGTTAATGAATTATAAGTATGCGTTGTCCATGAAGGATATGTAGGCAGCTCATGAAGTTCTATTTTCTCTCCCATGTTTTTCATTTGCATGCAAGCAAATTAAAAACACTTTTATTTGGGATTCACAGTATGTCAGTGACCATACTGGTATCCAACCATCTATATAAAAAAAAGTATATATATTCTTTTTTTTTTTTTTTTACTTGTTGGTTGGATTAGCCAGTTTTGGTATCCAGTAGTATTGGGGAAATTATATCCATTTTACTGTAGTTGTAATCTAAAATTAAACATTACTAATACTAATAATGTAAAATGCCAGTAAATAAAATTTATAAATCTTTACAAACACTATAAACATGTATTTTCATTCCCCTCCCACAACAATAAATATTTTAAATACAACACTATTCGGAACAGAAGAAAAATGAAAAATATAAGTATAAAACAAGCATAGTTTATAAAATTATAAACAACATTTATTATAAACAAATTTAAATTGAAACTGAAGCTACCAGCATGTGGGAAATACGCTATACAAATAAACTTGTGTTCATGTACCGAGTGTGTCCACTTTGCACTTGTTTTGTGTGCTTGATGTTAATTGCATTATATAACTTGCTTTGGAATATAAATCGCAGCATTATTTTAGATGGGAAAAAAAAGCGTGACTTATATTCTGGAAAATTCTATATGTATTCATTTATTTTTAAAATAAATATTTACAATTTCAATTTTTAAAATAAAATTGGCAATAATTTAAACAATAGACAATAATTATTGTCAAGATCAGCCATAATAATGCTCTATGGATGCATCCCAGTATTTATCATGATTGAGATATCCAGCTACTTTTGAGTAGTCTTGTTCTTGTGCGTTAAGCCGTTCTCTGTCTATATCTCAGAATCACAGACAGCGTTGTGGAACCTCTGAAGACTGAGCTCACTGAACTGGAGCAGTTAATCAAAGACCAGCAGGACAAGATCTGCGCAGTCAAGTCCAACATCCTGAAGAACGAGGAGAAGATCCAGAAGATGGTATCCAGCATTAGCTTCTCCTCACAAACGTGAATATCAGCACATCCCAAAAGAAACCTGAAGCACTGAGCAGCAGGGAGAGCTCCTGTTAATAGACCCCGATGTCTTTGAGCCGCACTGGAAAGAGTTCAGAAGGTGCAGGTACAGTCAGGAGTCACTCTCCTCAAACCCCCTTCATGTAAGGTGCCTTCTGTTAGACCCAGGATCTGTTTGCGCTGGTCCATTGGGATTCTCAAACACACTCACACTTCTGCAGTAGATTTGCACTCGTCACTTGCTTGAAAGATAAATGTGTGTGTGTTGTCACCATACTGATGTGTCCTGTATTTTTTAAATAGGACTTTAATTGCTTCCCATGTTCTCTTAGGAAAACAGACTGACAGGGTTATATATTTTTTTATTATTTAGCTTTTTTTCCATTCAGACTGACAGGTGTTTTTGTCTCACAGGAGAACAATATATCAATATGTCATATATGTATAAATAATTATGTATATATGTGCATAGAAACTATGGAAGATTGTTTCTGCCATTTTTTTATTTATTTCTGGGATTAAATAATAAAATAGGTAATTACAACTTTTTATCTCACAGTTTGAAGTTTTTCATGAAATTCTGAGAAGGAAAGGCAGGATGTGAGATATAAACTTGCAAGTGCTAAAAGAAAAGTCAGAATTGTGAGAAAGTTAAGGTTTTTTTATTTAGAGCAAAAAAAAATTCAGATAAAAAGTCAGATGTAAACTCGGAATAGCGAGAAAGTAAGTCAGAATTCTGAGTTTATATCTCGCAATTCTCAAAATTGTGAGATAAAAAGTCACATTTATATTTTATTGCTGTGGCTGAAACAAGCTTTCATGGAAATATGATATATATATATATATCACAGACCAGAGACAACATTACTACAATAGGCTATCAGGTTCCCAATTCCAGCCCATGTTCCGAAGTGAAGTAAACTTCAACGGATTTCCCCTGCTCAGGGAGTAGGAAGCAATGAACACTGTGTAGGGATCATATCGATCGGAACACAGTTCATGCACGTAGCTCACTTCTAACGAGCTGGCGTGAGGACTGGATTAACCGCTGGGCTACATCATGTGTCATTTACCGATGAGAAATCTTTAAAAGTACTACAATACCAGGAAGGAAGATCAGGTTGTTGATGTTTGCCTGCCATCCTCGCTCTGTCTGCACAGCGTGCGTGAACGCGCTGATGAAGTATCCTGTCTGCGCGAACTGGGTGCGCAGAGGTATGCTAATACATAGGTTGACAGGCAGGTAGGGAAGCATATTAAACCGAGCGTTTTGATTGGACGAACATTTCTTGATCCTACGCCTTCCACAGAATATATAAATACAGACAAATACATTTAGACCACTTAACTTAATGATTGCTATCGGGATGTGAAGAGACTTTCAACCAGCATAACAAAAAATGTTTCTGACGACAATTGCCTATTGCACCTTTAATATATGTTCAAAGAAACGAGATGAGATTGCATAAATGTCTTTTAAGTCAATTTATCATATAAATCAAAAAATGTACCTTGATCAAATGTATACGTGTATTTCAAATTCATATCAATAATGATATTTCATTTGAGAAAACATGACTGAGAAACTTTTTTAGAGGGCTGTTGAGAGCGGTCGCTACTGCAAACTGAGATCCATGAAGCAATTATTACATTGAACATTTCTATTTTGATAAGGTTATGACAGGAAGAACTGTTAGATGAAGCAATAGTTGAATCCGCTGCTCAAGCACAACATTTAGAAAATCTTCAGCATGTATATCCAGTCACACTTTATGGATACTGTGGTACTGTAACAGTGTCTAGATGAATTTTACATCTAAACCACACAGCATGAATGTCAGTAGAATCAGGCTTCAATATACAGATTATATACTACATCAGTATTATCAGCTGTGCACCATGACACAAAATACAGTTTGCTATTTAAGTAAAATCAACTTCTTAATGTCGATAAAATATATTTGCCTTTCTATTTACTTTGTAAAAGAGCCGACCATTTACACTGTATACGATTTTTACCATTTGCTGTACATTTTGTGTACATGTTGTTTGTATCATAGTCCACAAATGAATATTAATTTTGTAGTGAAGTCTAATAAACAGTTACATTTCTGTTAAAAGTGTAAATTGTGATCATTTTACAGTGCATGCGGTTCGGAGAATATAGTCATTATTTTTCCAATTCTGTTTGGTGGCGCCAGTGACACAAAAATTACACACGTCACCATTAAGTAAACATTGCAACATTTTAATGACTGTTTTGAATTGCATTTCAGAGCAGCGGTAAACATGCCAAGTGAATGTTTCTGATGAGTTCACAAAAAGGCCTGGACGTGTTTAACGTGTCACACACAGCGCTCTGGAAAGCTGACCCGGTGGGACGCAGCGAAAACATTGAATAACATTTTAAAAGCCTGTATCAGCACATCAGTTTTGATTTTTATTCTGGCAGCGCTTGAAACAGCTGCACCGCAGGCTCACACGCACATACTATTGAGTAACAGTCGACCGGGCCGTTTAAGATCAGGATTTGGAGGCCCTTGAAAACCTGGGCACCTGCCTGAGATCCCTGAGCGAACGTTTGGATTAGGTCAGAGTGAACAGGCCGCGTGCCCTGCGGGGCTCTTTTGTCTGAGCGTTCTCCTGCTGTGGGCCCTGGAGAAAACTCCAGCCGGAGGGTCCTTGGGACTGTCAGAAATGATTGTGCTGCTTTAGCAAGAAGAACAGTGAACAGGTGGAACTTGTGTTTCCTACATTGAAATAAATCCTTTTTTTATTTTATGCCTTATTAATGGGAATTATGGTCAAAAGGAACTCAATGCACCATAACCAGCAAGGAAAACGCTTTAGTGTGTGACCTCCAGGAAGAGCCAGTCCGTCATTACAATGCTATTAACAAAGGATCATTCTGAAAAGCAAACCTCAATTCGTTATTGCTATTGCTCATATTTAGGGTTAGGGGTTTAAACAAACCACTAACCATACGTATTAAACTTAGGCGTGTAATTCAGCATGTTCTCAAATTGCATGGCATGTTCAAAAGAGGTGTTTGATTTTTTTTTGACTTGGCAGACCATAAAGTAGAGCCTGATCTAAAAACCACCTAGTAACTACCCAAGAACACTGTAGCAGTGCACAAGCAACTGCATAACAATCCTAAAAAAAGAATAATTTAGAACACCTCAGCCATGTTAAGAATCACCCAAAATCCCCTAGCAACTTGTTAAGATCCCTCCGAACACTTTTTAGAGAGTTGAGTGTTGTATCTCCCTGCGGTCCAGTTCTCTTCAGAGACACAAAAGGCTGTCAGGCTTGCTGTTTATTTTTCAGGCCTGTAGGCCAGTGTTCATGGTTCAGCTGTCGTCAGGCAGCAATACGGCATGCGTCTGCGGCTCTTCAATATAAACTTCCAACAATGACAGACTCAAGTCACCTACCACAGTTAAAGACATTCAAGCTTTGTCTTCAGCTTCAAGAGACTGGACTAAGATCTACACTCACCTCCTCTGCTCTGGGTCTCATCACGTCTCTGAATGAATGAGCAGAAGGTCTGTGAGTATATGGATGCATTCCAGGAAAACTGTCAAAAAGGTTGATGTTCCATGTTCAGGACTCCCACTCAAAAAGTTAAAAAGCATAATTCAAAAAAAGAAAATATATTTAATAATTTAAATGCTAAATTATTCATAATTTAATAATTTGTTATTGAAGTGGTATTTGTAATAACTAATAATTACTATATGTGTGTGCACAAGGAGAGCTGACCAGACGTGTGTGTGTGTGTGTGTGTGTGTGTGTGTGTGTGTAAATAAATACTATATACATATAATTTAAAAGATAACATTTTAATTATTATAATTATAGATAATTATTTATTCATTATATATATCATAATACAAATATGTATATGGTTTGGGGCTCTCGTATGCAAGTTTATAAAACATGAGATTGCTTAGAAAGGTACAAACATAAATATTTTTACTCTGCTAGCATTTACTCTTATGGAAATGATATAGTAGCACTATTTGTATTGTTTCTCTTGGATACATTGCTCCTGCTTGTATTATTTTCACTTATAAATCATTAAATGACTAAATGTGCATGTAGCAATGTAGTGCAACTAGTCACTAGTTGCACAACATTTCTACATGCACATTTATTAATTTTGTGATTTAGTGAAGTACATTATAAAGGCTTCAGAAAACTGTACACGAATCCACCATCCAGACATCTTTGTACCGGTGGATCCCTTGAATAAGTTGTTTCTGGGTTTTTTAATTGCCATTTGTAAGTCACTTGGGATCAAAGAATCAAAAAAGAACGCACAAATCCACACAAGTATTTTCACCTTAACTTGTATACAGTCCACCTTAAATCCAGATGAGCCTGTGACAGACAACTGCGAGTCAGCCAATCAGATCGGCTCCTGCAGCCGAGAGTCCATGCCGCTGCTAAAAACAGCATTAAGAAAAAAAGCACAGACACTTTTTGCAGTAGTATTGGTCATTTATTGTGGTTTATGACACTCGGAGCAGACATTTATTTAAGTAGACTTACAAAACACGATGGCTGATGGTGAGAATTTTGAAGGGGATGCTGAGGTCCCACCGGTCCCTGAGCCACAGCTCCCAAACACTACTGCAGCTGGTACAGTAACGTTATGTCAAAACATTTACATCAGAACGAACAAAGGCTTTAGAGCCATACAGTATTATGTTCAGTGTAGATCGGTTAGGGACTGTTCAGGCCATAATTGTTGAAAAGCCTCTAACAAACACTAGCGAGATATTCATATTCAAAACACTTGAATTACTGAAACTAGATTTACTTGTTTGAAGCAAGTAGGCCTAACGTTAGCGTTATATTACAATCGCAACTTGACGGCTGCCAAAGAACTTTTGCCTGCCAGTTTTTGCGAGCAGTTTCTCGGGGAACGCCAAACCCTTACGAAAATTAACCATGGTTTTATTATAGTAAAAGTGTATTAACCATGTTTTTTTGGCGTATTGAATACCATTTGTATAACGACAGTTTTACTACAAAAACCATGGTTAAACTATGGTTAGTGTAGCAAAACCGTGCTTAATTTGTGGCTATCATGGTTTAACTAATTTGTAGTAAAACCATGGTTAATTTTTAAGCAATGAAATATGTTATGAAAATAATATGTGCTTGTTTTTAACTTCTTGTACATAAAGCCTGTAGCTGCACACATCCTAGGAAGTGTTTCTGGTTATGTGTAAAATTCCGTCTAACGAAAATTAACCATGGTTTTTTACTACAAAAAACGAAACAAAAAAAAAAACATGGTTACTATAGTTAAACCATGGTAACCACAAATTAACCATGGCCTTGCTACACTAACCCTAGTTTAACCATGGTAACTGTGGTTATACAAATGGTAGGCTAATAAATGCGCTAAAAAACCATGGTTACCACACTTTTACTATAATAAAACCATAGTTAATTTATTTACTACGTCTGCGATCATTGTCGCGTCTCAGTATAAGAAAAATTGAAGTTATTTATGTAAGACTTGAGGTATAAGTGTGTGAATTTTGTTTCAGTATAATTTCAGAAGTGTTTCTAAGAAGCTTTTAAGCGACCACACAAACTAATCATACAGATTTATCATTCACACATGAATGAAACACCTGAAATATGAGTCTTGTTCTCACAAGCATCGAACGCTGATTATGTAATGGACCTGATCTGGTCTCTGTCTCCCTGTCAGGTCGTAACCTGAGAGGATGGCTTCAGGAGCAGTTCGGTAGGCCTCTGGAACAGTGTGAGGACATGAGTCTACATAACGCTGCCCATGTAGGAGACCTAGACACTCTCAAGACCCTCCTACAAGAAGACCGCTTCAAACAGTGAGACTTCCTTCTCTGAATGATTCATTAAAGTTGACTTAAAACGAAAAATTTCCCTATCTGTTTTATAAATGCACATTATAGATCTTAATGTAACCAGTTGTTCCATGTATATAAACAACAGAATAGATTCCTCTCTGGTGACATACAGGATTTCTCCAATCATTAAGCCCTTGGAAGCTCGCATTCATCTGCCTCCATTTTTGAGTGCAACACACACTCTACAAAATCCAGTAACCAACGGATGTTTAGATGCAGGTCCTCGCACTACAATTTTTCTTTTTTGATCATCTGTTAAACACAGAAGTACATCACAATACAGAAGAAAAGATCTCTTGCTACTAAAGTTTCATCACAACTTTAAAGGAATAGTTCACCCACAAATTAAAATTTGCTGTAAATATACTCACCCTCAGGCCACCCTAGATGTAGATGAGTTTGTTTCTTCTTTACAACAGATTTGCAGAAATTTAGCATCACTTACCAATGGATCCTCTGCAGTGAATGGGTGCCGTCAGAATGAGAGTTGAATGAGTCCAAACAGCCGATAAAAACATCACAATAATCCACACAGTTCCACAAACTTGTTAAACTCACCTTGGATGGCCTGATGGTGAGTACATTTTCAGCAACTGTCCATTTTTGGTGAACCATTCATTTAAAGGCGCCTACACACCACTGGTTTTGCTATGCACCCATGTTTTACATTGGACAAAACTCACAACCCATGTTTACTCTCATTTCAAGTGCGGTTCAAAGGTGATATTCTTAACACAGAATATAAGATTGTTTTTTCAGTGTGTAACATTGAATTCTTTTCTAGGCAGATTAATGAGAAGTTGATTTGGTCCTGTGGTTGGCTGCCCTGCACGCCGCTGCGTATTGCTGCCATGATGGGTCACAGCGAGTGTGTGGAGTACATGATCTCTCAGGGAGCTGCAGTGGACCTGGTGGATGTGAAGGGTCAGACCGCTCTGTACATGGCTGTGGTTAATGGACACCTGGACTGTGTGAAGATCCTTTTGAAAGCCGATGCTGATCCGAACGGCAGCATTCATCACCGGAGCACCCCAATATACCACGCTGCACAAGTGGGCCGAGTGGACATTCTATTAGAGCTGATCAGGTGGGGACATATCTTGCAAATGCTATAATTACTATATTGAAAATGGAGTTCAGTTACGACTCTACACTGGCGGCCAAAAGATTGGAATACCATGCTGCATTAATTTGATAAAAAAATACAGTATTAGATTTTGAAATATAATTACAATTTCAAGGAACTGTTTTCTGTTTAAATATATTTTGAAATGTAATTTATTCCTGTGATGTCAAAGCTTAATTTTCAGCATCATTACTCCAGTCTTCAGTATCACATGATCCTTCAGAAATCATTCTAGTATGTTGATTTGGTGCTCAATTATTATTGGTGCTCATTGATTGTTATCAATGTTAAAAATGTCTTTGCTACCTAATATTTTTGTGGAAACCACATTTTTTTGCAGGATTTGTGGATGATTAGAAAGTTCATTGAACAGTGTTTATTTAAAATAGAGAATTATTGTAACATGAGAAATGTCTTTACTGTCACTTTTGATCTATTTAATGCATCCTTGCTGAATAAACGTATTAATTTCTTTTTTTTTTTATCGTTCATAGCCCAAACTTTTGAATATTATCACAGTTTCCATAAAAATATATTAAGCAGCATAACTTTTTCCAACATCGATAAGAAATCTTGAGCAACAAATCAGCATATTAGAATGATTTATGAAGGATCATGTGACACTGAAGACTGGAGTAATGATGTTGAAAATTCAGCACTGCATCACAGCAATACATTTTTTTTTTACTGTGTTTTGGTCAAATAAATTCAGCTTTGGTGAGCAAAACAGACTTCTTTCAAAAACATAAAAAAATCGTAATTATTCCAGACTTTTGGCTGCCCATGTATGTTGTCATGGATTATTTAAATGTGAATTATGATAATGCTGATTGCCCTGGAATACACACAGGTTCAATGCTGATGTTGATATTGACCAGCGGTTGGATCAGAGGTCTATGTTCGGCATGCACACTTTGACAACTCTGGCAGCCTGTCCACTGTTCATCAGCGCTGCTTACCATCACTTCCCCTGCTTCCGGATGCTTCTGAATGCCGGTGCCAACCCCAACTACAACTACAATGGCCCCGTGAGCAGGGAAGCGCTGGTAAGGGGCCGGGCCTGCTGTATGCTGGATGCAGTTCTGAAACTCGGATGTGAACCAGTCTTCGTTAGCTTGCTGCTGGACCACGGCGCTGACCCGTATCTAGTCCCCTGGGACGAGCTCGATCCTGACACCATGGTTCGCTTAAAAGTCAACGCTGAAGCCCTTCACATCTACCAGGAAGCCAAAAGTAAGTTGTAGTCTTGATGTTGTCATGTTATTATTGGGTCATTTCTATTATGCAGTATATTTTTTACTTTAAGTGCAAATTTTTTATACAGTGAGGTCCAAAATTATGGATTTTTTTCATTAAAGCCTGGACATAAATAAATGGAAAATTTTATTATAAAATTATAAAAGTTTTATAGCAAAAAACAGTTATGTCAAATGAAGACCAACAAGCTCATAATTTTTAAATATGAAAAGTTCGTTTTTCAGTATCACAGGTAGGTGAACATTTTAAATTTTCAGTGGATTTTAGTCATATGCTATGCACTTTTAATATGGAAAAAACAATGGTTTGTTAAAGAATATTTCAGATATTTCTTAATTTTTTTCCTTCATTCAAATTCTTTCAAACAATGTTGATGTTAACTAAAGCTGTTGAAATAGTTTTGGTAATTGAAATAAAGCTACAATAAAATAAAATAAATAATATATTTAAAAAAATTAGAAATGTTGATTTGGCAATTAACTAAAATAAATGTAAGTTGAAATTACATTAAAAAAAATTTTTTTTTTAAATCAAAGCTATTATATAGAACTATAAAAACTAACAAAATGGCCAAAGCACATCAAATTAGTAAAGCTTAAACTAAAATTAAAATGAAAACTGAAAATGTAATAATATTTCAAAATGTTAACACTGGTTTTAAATGATAATTGTTTTCTTTGGAAATGTTGTTTTCAATGTTGTTATGGATTCATAGTTTTTCCATGTGTCTTCAACCTCATTTTTCGTCTTTTTAGTTTTCTGTAAAATCCTTTTAACTAACAACAGCCACTTCCTTAATGACATCATCCTTTAGGAAGCGACATCATTTTGGAGGGAAAACAACAGCTCAAACATTAGCGAGTATTATCAATGGATTTAATGAATTCTGCACTTTATGGCATACACAGGATGTGAACATTTTGTTGAAGGAATGTTTTTAACAGGAGAATATTCTGTAAAACATTGAACTTGAAAAAGGCAATGCAGGAAATTCAGGAGATTCAAAATTACTTCATTTTTTTATTTCAGGGTATAACTTCAAATATGATACTTTCCATGACTGTCAAATTACAGTTTCATTTCTAAAGGTCTTTGAGGCCTTTCCTGTACTCGCTAATATTGCTTTCCAACACAGGAAACCCGAGGAGATTGATGAACCTGTGCCGCATTACTATCCGGGAGATCATGGGCAAGAAGCGTCTATCATGTATCTCTTCCCTTCCGCTGCCTGAAACCATCATAAAATTTATGTTTCACAAGGACTGACCATGTAGACGGTCGATTAACTGAAGGGTGCAAGTGACCTCTCGCTCTCCAACACTACTTACACCAGTGACTTCCACTAGACTGGCTGCTGTGATGGCAAGGTAATTACATTTTTCTGTGTTGATTTTGGGGGACGTCTGTGGAATGGATTCCTGGTAAAAATTAGTTAAATGGAGCTGAGAGTACTGTACTCTTATTGTGAGATGAATGCATAAGCATATTAGCAAAAATGTTTAATATATGCGCTGCTGCTGCCATTTTAAGAGAGTTTTACATACTCTTCTTTGCACTGTGCCAAAGAACACGATTACCTGTAGTAAAATCACTGTAACGCACTGCCTTTTGTGGCTCATTGCTTTAACGGAGGACAATATTGAACACCACTGATAAGAGAAAATTATATTGAGATTAGTCTTATTTTAGCCTGTGCTAACAGTTACAGCATCTAAGTAATGACTATTGAATATTATTAGAATTATGATATTGGTGATATGTACTTATATCACCTATATTTGATTATATTGCTGAAACTTGCCTTACATATTAATTTCCATATTGTTTTTTTTTTGTTTTGTTTTTTTGCAATATTGGTAATGTAAAGAATGTGCACTTCTGAACTTTTTTGAAGTAGCTTCTACTTTCCTTGAATATTTCAGTTTGTTGCGACTTATTTGTTTACCTCACTACAAATGATTTCCAGATAAATATTTTTTACTTTAAAAGATTCTGATTGTCTCATTATTCATTACCCTGATTAAAATCTTTGTTTCATTATTTGTTTCATTATTTAAAAGAGCGGAGTGGAAAATATAAATATTTTGAAACGTTACCAATACAAACATCACTTTTAATGCATCTTTGCTGAATAAAAGTGTTAATTTCTTGAAACAAATCATTCCAGGATTTTATTTTATTTTATATTTTATTATAAATATACACTGTATGTGTGTGTATTTATATATACATAATAAATATACACAGTACACACATATATATATTATGTAAACGAAAACTTTTTTTTGGGATGCGATTAATCGCGATATTATTATTATATTATTATTATTTTATTGTCTTATGTTTTTTTTTATTATTATTATTATGTAAACAGATACAATTTACCAGTGACAAATCAAATACAAAATAACCAAAGTCAACAAAACATACATGACAGCCAACGTGAGTGAGTGAGTGAGTGACACACAGAGACTGGGTGTGAGGGGTGGAAGTACAGGTGCATCTCAATAAATTAGAATGTCGTGGAAAAGTTCATTTATTTCAGTAATTCAACTCAAATTGTGAAACTCGTGTATTAAATAAATTCAATGCACACAGACTGAAGTAGTTTAAGTCTTTGGTTCTTTTAATTGTGATGATTTTGGCTCACATTTAACAAAAACCCACCAATTCACTATCTCAACAAATTAGAATACTTCAATAGTCCAATAAAAAAAACATTTTTAGTGAATTGTTGACCTTCTGGAAAGTATGTTCATTTACTGTACATGTACTCAATACTTGGTAGGGGCTCCTTTTGCTTTAATTACTGCCTCAATTCAGCGTGGCATGGAGGTGATCAGTTTGTGGCACTGCTGACGTGGTATGGAAGCCCAGGTTTCTTTGACAGTGGCCTTCAGCTCATCTGCATATTTTGGTCTCTTGTTTCTCATTTTCCTCTTGACAATACCCCATAGATTCTCTATGGGGTTCAGGTCTGGTGAGTTTGCTGGCCAGTCAAGCACACCAACACCTCAAACAATATATCTGTAACTCAGGGGAAGAGTTACTGGTATTTGAAATAAATTAGTATTTTTTTTCCCCTGAAGAAATGCTCCAGGTTCGACGCAAGTCATCCTTTACCACAAAAAAATTAATCAATAAATAAATTAAATAATAATAATAATAGCAATAATAATAATAATAATAACAATAATAATAATAATGAACTCAATTTATCAGAAATGAGGGGAAAGTTGGAGGATGTGGAAGATGACGAATAGCAAAATAATAGTATTAATTAGTAATAGTAGCAATAATAACAATATTAACAATAAACTCATTCATCAGGAACCGGGGGGAGGTTGGAGGATCAGGAAGAGGACAAATAGTAATAATAATAATAATGGTAGTAGTAGTAGTAGTAATAATAGTGGCACCAACAACAACAATAATAATAATAATAATAATAAAGCTAAAAAATAGTGAGATATTGTAAGGCTGCCTCTGGGCCCTCCATGAGCACAGCATAAGTTGGGCCCCCGCCCATGTCACCCTACGACAGGCCATCAAGGAGAGGTGGAGGCCCAGAGGCAGGAAAAGAGAAAGAGAAAGGAAAAGAGAGAGAAAAAATAATAATAAACAAAAGACAATGAGAGTGGGGAGAGAGAGACGGAAAGAGAGAGAGAGAGAGAGAGAAAAATAAATAAAAATAAAGGAGAAAAAATTAAAAAAATTATATTTTATAAGTATTTAATTAGGTTTGATATTAGCCATTGTTGCTACCTCCTCCTAACCCCCCTCCCCCAATCTTGTTTAGATATTGATGAAGATGTGTCATTGAGGATGGCTTCAGACAAAGAGGTTCAGCGGATTCATGATTGATGGAAGTTTATGAGAGATAACCAAGAGGGGTGTAATTCTATTGTATTATTTTGAGTGGAAGTTGACAGGTTTTCCATGGAGATGTACTCTATTAGTACGTTTTTCCAAGATGTAATATGTATGGTGTTCCTTGATTTCCAGTTCATGAGGATAGTTTTCTTGGCGATAGTTAGAGCCACTAGGAGTAATTGACTATTTGTATTGTTTAAATTGATTATGGATATGTCACCTAATGTACAGAGGGAGGGAGACAATGGGATGTGACATCCCATAAAGTTGGATAGTGAGTCAGTAACGTTTTCCCAAAATTTTTTAAATTGAGGTGCAATGCCAAATGGCGTGAAAATAGGTGTCTGGGGTGTTTTGTGTACAATGTGAGCATGTTTCTGAAGTAAAACCCATTTTAAATCATTTTCGTCCAGTTAAGTGAAATATATTAAGTACTTTATACTGTATAAGTTGCAGGTTGGCATTTTTTGTCATGAAGTAGATATTTTTGCAGATTTGTGTTGTTGTTATGTTTTATTTAAGTAAAAGTCATGCATTAATATATATCTAAGTAATTTATTGATGTAGTATCTTTTATTTATAACACCGATATGCACACAGCTCTATGCTCCCATTGGCTTTTTTATTGTTTGTATTTATCTGTATGTTTTTTTTTCTTTACCCTAAGGGGTCATTATTGTTCTTTACTCTCAGCGTTTAAATTATTGCTAAATTAAAAACGTAATTATCATTCAACGCAGGAAGTGATTTATACTTCCTGTAAGACAGCCTGTCTTCACAGAGGCCCTGCCCACAAGTTTCTCAGGGATCTTAGTAGATATCATGTTAAATCACATCTCACCATCATATAATAGCCCCTGATGTGCACTGATTCCACTGAGGGTTTTCAACCATATCGCAGATTTCCCAGGCTTCATCCATTAGGATCACTCTCTGGGTACAACTGCCTTTTTTCCTTGTCAGACTATAACTTTAGTGTGCTGTGACATTAAAACCACATCTTGTTGAAAACCACAAACTGGAAAAAGCAAAGCCTGGGAAAGGCCGGACTCTGCCAACGAATCACCAGTGGGCTCGTAGAGAACTGCAGTCCCTCTATCTGCATCTGGGGGAAAGGTGGGTTCACACACTACTAAGTGCACTCTTGTTCGTGGGTACTCTGTAATAATCTCCCCTCGGTGCATTTTTGCTGTTACGCTGCCATTGAAATCTTGATCAAAGCTCCCTATGTTTAATGTCAATATGTCAGCAGCAGATCTTAAGTGACTGTCATCTTTTTCCGATTGTTTTCAACAGCGGATCTGGAAGGAGGCCACTTAGCAACCCCAAAAGAGGAGTAGTAGGATGCGTGTTCAGATGGGTGGGCACTAAATCCCTAAAGTTTGATTGGCCAGTCCAGGTGTCATCTCAAAATTCGAACCTGTGATTGGCCATCTCCCAAGGCAGAGGCGGGATGCTCTTTAAAACCCAATATGACCTCCTTGGTTTGAACTGGAGCGGGAAACCATGTCAAGAAATGACAGACTCATTTGGATATTTCCCATCCAAAATAAATATGTAAGTACACTTTATGATATAGCCTACAAATATCAGTTTTCTTTGTCCCTAGTGCAGCGTGTTTCCATCAAGCACCCAACAGTCTTAAAAATAAAGGCTCCAAATAGAGGTTTTGCAGTGATGCCGCAGAAGAACCATTCTGGTTCCCAAAAGTACCTTTCAGTGAACAGTTCTTCCAAGAACTACTTTTTTAATAACTTTTTTTTTTTTTCAATTTATTTACTTTTCGTCGAACTTGGAATTGTTAACTCAAAAAAAAGAAAGAAAATTTGTTAAAAATATACTCACTCTCAGACCATCCAAGATGTTGATGAGTTTGTTTCCTCGTAGGAAAAGATTTGGAGAAATGTAGCATTACAGCAGTTGCTCACCAATAGATCCTTTGCAGTGAATGGGTGCCGTTAGAATGAGAGTGGCTCGTAGAGAACTGCAGTCCCTCTATCTGCATCTGGGGGAAAGGTGGGTTCACACACTACTAAGTGCACTCTTGTTCGTGGGTACTCTGTAATAATCTCCCCTCGGTGCATTTTTGCTGTTACGCTGCCATTGAAATCTTGATCAAAGCTCCCTATGTTTAATGTCAATATGTCAGCAGCAGATCTTAAGTGACTGTCATCTTTTTCCGATTGTTTTCAACAGCGGATCTGGAAGGAGGCCACTTAGCAACCCCAAAAGAGGAGTAGTAGGATGCGTGTTCAGATGGGTGGGCACTAAATCCCTAAAGTTTGATTGGCCAGTCCAGGTGTCATCTCAAAATTCGAACCTGTGATTGGCCATCTCCCAAGGCAGAGGCGGGATGCTCTTTAAAACCCAATATGACCTCCTTGGTTTGAACTGGAGCGGGAAACCATGTCAAGAAATGACAGACTCATTTGGATATTTCCCATCCAAAATAAATATGTAAGTACACTTTATGATATAGCCTACAAATATCAGTTTTCTTTGTCCCTAGTGCAGCGTGTTTCCATCAAGCACCCAACAGTCTTAAAAATAAAGGCTCCAAATAGAGGTTTTGCAGTGATGCCGCAGAAGAACCATTCTGGTTCCCAAAAGTACCTTTCAGTGAACAGTTCTTCCAAGAACTACTTTTTTAATAACTTTTTTTTTTTTTCAATTTATTTACTTTTCGTCGAACTTGGAATTGTTAACTCAAAAAAAAGAAAGAAAATTTGTTAAAAATATACTCACTCTCAGACCATCCAAGATGTTGATGA